CTGCTTCTGCTTTTATTTTTCATCTGATGTCATGCTGTTTGGCTCGTGATAAAATATTTTGCCTTGATGAGGAGAGATTTTATAATACAAAGAATTAGGGCTACAAAAGAGGAAGGAGCAGGAGTGGAGGGAGAGCTAAAAAAATTGTTACCAAATATACTTGCATGAAAACTTTGTGCAAGGAGGCCCTTCAAAATTCATGGGAGACATGCTTAAAGACTGTCTCATGTAAGTTGTATTAGTTCCACTAAATATTTGTCAAATGTGTTAAGACATACTAGTCCTTGCATCCCCTTTTATGGTCCAGAACTGTGCTGGCTCATTGCATGGGTTAGAGGCTCTCATCCATTTGCTTTGCATGCATCTGTGCCCTAGCCCACAAAGAGTTGTCAATTGTAGTGCAGCTTGGTCTTCCTTGAGCAAGGCTGGTCAGAGCTGCATCCACAGATCGTTCTGCTCTCTGTAAAAATGAAGATGCATATTCTCTTCCTAGCAGATATCCTAACCAGTTGGTTACATTATCATACTTTCCACTAGACCAGGTTGTGCAAAGCCCTATCCAACCTGGCCTTGAACACTTCTAGGGATGGGGCATCCACAGCTGCTCTGGGCAACCTGTTCCAGTACCTCACCACCCTCACAAGAAAGAATTTCTTCCAAATATCTAATCTAAACTTACTCTCAGTTTGGATCCATTCCCCCTTGTTCTGTCACTACATGCTCTTGTAAATAGTCTCTTTCCATCTTTCTTGTAGGCTCCCTTCAGGTACTGGAAGGCCACAATTAGGTCACCCCAAAGCCTTCTCTTTTCCAGGCTCAACAATCCCAATTCTCTTAGCCTTTCCTCATAGGAGAGGTGCTTCATCCCTGTAATATTGGTGGTGACCTCCTCTGGACTCCAACAGGTCAATATCCTTCCTGTGCTGGGGACCTCAGAGCTGTATGTAGCACTGCAGGTGGGGTTTCATGAGAGCAGAGGGACAGAATCACCTCTCTTGCCTTGCTGCCCAGGCTGCTTTTGATTCAGCCCAGGATACAATTGGCTTTCTGGGCTATAAGTGCACATTGCTGGCTCATGTCCAGCCTCTCATCCACCAGCATCACCAAGTCCTTCTTGGCAGGGCTGCTCTTGATCTCTTCATCCCCCAGCCTGGATTGTCCTGACCCAGGTGCAGAACCTTGCACTTGGTCCTGTTGAACTTCATGAGATTCTCATGGGCCCACTTCTCAAGCTTGTCCAGGTCCTTCTGGATGGCATCTCATCCCTCAGATGTGTCAACAGTACCACTCAGCTTGGTGTCATTTGCAAATTTGCTGAGGGTGCACTCAATCCCTTTGTCTATGTCATTAATGAAGATATTAAATAACAGTGGTCCCTGTACAGCCCCCTGAGGGACACCACTTTTCACTGATGTCCATCAGAACTCTGAGCTGTTGACTGCTACCTACCTTCTGGATGCAACTGCCCAACCAATTTCTTATCCATCTAAAAATCCACTCATCGAATCCATCTCTCTCCAATGTAGAGAGAAGGATGTTGTATGGGACTGTGTCACAGGCCTTACAGAAGTCCAGATAGATGACATCTGTAGCCCTTCCCTTGTGCACTGATGTAGTCACTCCATCACAGAAGGCCACTAGATTGGTCAGGCAGGACTTGCCCTTGGTAAAGCTATGCTGGCTGCCCTGAATCACCTCCTTGTTTTCCATGTGCCTTAACAAAGCTTCTAGGAGGATCTGTTCCATTATCTTCCCAGGATTATCTTGAATGAATTCAGATAAATTTTATGCCAGACTCCTCTATACTGCAGTACTTTAATATCTAATTATGTAAGGGTGATGAGATTGAAATGCTACTTCTGATAGATTTCCACAATTATTAAGTTTATACTCTTTCTGCTGCTGTCTGAGGTATAAAAAGAACTTGAAAATCTGCAGCCTAAAAACATCAGCTCTAAAATATCAAGAATGCTGAGTTTGATCTAGGCTTTGCTTGAGGCCTCATCGCTGTGTCTGAGAGCATGTTTTTTGTAAGTCCTAACTGAAAAAGTAATGATAACCAGAATTGCACAGTATTCTTTATCGAAATTTAATTTTTTGCCCAGTGGAAGAGAATCTCTAGACACTTTATCAGACCAAAGGAGCTTCTGAGTCCTAAGGAAGTGTCGTGGTTTGACACGGGAAAAGAATTTTCTCGGAAGGAAGAGGTCAGTCCAGTCAGGGGTCAGGTTTGGATACTGATACTTGGGGTGACCAATTGAAGGTGGACACGCCTCTGAGAACACAGAGGGGTTAAAAGCGGAATTCCCAGGAGAATTCGCTCTCTGGTTCCGGTCATCGGAGAGTGCAGACCTCCCCTGCCCAGCCACGAGCTGGGTGGGGGAGGGGAGCCATGTGGCCTGCAGAGGTAGGCCAGGGGATGAAGGATCAGGAACTGAGCTGGGCCAGCTCCTGCAGACGGAAGGGTGGAGAACATCTGAGATGTCTTTGTTTCCCTCCCCCCCCCAACCTAGAGGGAAAAGAGATCAAGAGCCTGTAGACACCAGGAAGTTTGCCGGCAGAGGAGAAGGAGAAGGGGGGGGAAGATGCCCAGCGTGGGAGATGGGAGACAGAGTCCTGGCCGAGATTTCAGCCATCCAGGGAGTCTGGGACTTTTAACCCTTTCCTGGGAAATGAAGGCTTTGTGAAATATTACTCCTCCTCAGTTTGAAGGAAAGAGAGACAGCCTGGGACCTCAGATGTTAGGGAAAGAAGATTGGGGGGAGATGATGGAGTGGCTTTTGGCTGGACTCTTTTTGTCAGCCATAGACTGAACCAATCTTTCCTCCAAGAGAGACTGCATTTTAGGGGGATACAATGGTGAGCCAAGAAACTCCTTCAGCAACTACCAGTTCAGGAATGAACAGAGAAAAGCGGAGGAGGGTGTGAGGGATGCCCTCCGTCTTCAGAGAGGAAGAGAAGGCGATCTCTGTTCTTGGATCCTCGGCCCCAGGGAAAAATGGGGGGAACTGTAGTCCCAAAATGAGACACTGGACTGTTGTTCCTGTTGGTCCTTGACAAAGCATCCTTAAAGGGGCCCTATAAGCAGTCTCTGTCCATGCATGGTGGTGGGAGCACTGTGACAGGGAAAGGAGAGTGTCACACTGGCCTGGTGTGTCTGGGCGGTGCCATGTGTGACATGGAAACACAAGAGGTGGCAGCTGTGTTTCCTGGGGGTCTATGGTGCAAGGGAGATTCCTCTCTCCCCTGATGGACTCAGTATTGATTATGTGGAAGGGTGAAGACTTGATTAAGGGTTAAAATGTGTCTCGCTGTGATTTGTTTGAGTTGGGTTGTGGGAGGAGGAATGTTTTGAAAGGTTTTCATTTTGAATTTTGTGTGTGTGGCTTTTTTTTCTTCTTTTTTCCTTTTATAGTCGTAGTAGTGTAATAGTAGTAGTAGTGTAATAAAGTTCTTCCTTTGTTATTAAGTTTGGCCTGCTTTGCTCTGTTCTCGATCGCATTTCGCAGCATTCAATTGATAGGTTGCATTTTCATGGGGGCACTGGCATTGTGCCAGCGTCAAACCATGACAGCAAGCTGTAAACAAACAAAGACCTTATGGTGCACGCATTTAACATTTTTTTCAATTGTGTGTGAGTTTCAGAAATAAATACAGCACTTAAGGCAGTGAAGTGGTGTTCCCACAGCCCTGCTCTAGGTTGCTGGATTCCAGATTAGAATCATAGAATGGTTTGGGTTGGAAGGGACTTTAAAAATCATCTAGTTCCAACCCTCCCCTGCCATGGGCAGGGGTGCCTTTCACTAGATCAGGTTGCTCAGGGTCCTATCCAACCTGGCCCTGAACACTTGTAGGAATGGGGCATCAACAACTTCTCTGGACAAATTGTTCCAGTGCTTCACCACCGTTTGAGTAAAGAATTTCTTCCTAACATCTCTAAACCTGCCGTCTTTCAGTTTAAAACCATTGCCCCTTTTCCTGTCACTATCTGCTTGTATAAAGAGCCCTTCTCCCTCCTTTTTATAAACCCCCTTTGGCTACTGGAAGGCTGCAATGAGGTCTCTCTGAAGCCTTCTCCTCTCCATGCTGGACAATCCTATGCCTTTCTTCATAAGAGAGAAGTTCACCAATCCTCTGATCATCTTTGTGGCCACCTCTAGACCCACTCTAACAGGTCCACATCTTTCTTGTGCTGAGGACCTTAAGCCTGGACATGATACTCCAGGTGGGGTCTCGGAAGGGCAGAGTAGAGGGGGAGAATCACCTCCCTTGACCTGCTGGGCATGTCTTTTGCTGCAGCCCAGGGTCTTGTGTAGGCATTTTGGCTGGTACCTGTGCACAGATGTGGGATGCCACAGCTATAGAAGGTGTGGAGTGCTTGAAATCTACCTTGTGATTGATAGTTGAAACTATGTTAGATGTTGCTGGTTTACTGTGACAGTAATTCAATGTGTTGCTGCTGGAAGCATTTGCATCACAGGCAAAGGATTAAGACTTTAATGAATAAGTTAAGGGCTTCCTTAAAAGTTGTGTATTATTTCTAAAACCTGGCAGGTTTTTGTGCCTTTGTTTTCTTTTTTTTTTTTTTTTTATGATATTTTTATTAATCCTAACTGTTCTCAGCCTTTTCTTATTCCCCTTGCCCATCGAGAAATGAAGTTCACAGACACATTTTGGGGTAGTGCAATACATTTCTTTGTAGTCTTTGAGGTAGAAAAATCTCAAAGGTGAACAACTGTCACTATAGGACACGAGAATGCACAACGCGGGCCACTTGCCACTTTGCAAGGTAAAAGAGAGCGTTTATTTTCTGACTCCAACTTTTATACTTCTCCAAAGGTGACAGTGGATTGGAGAGTGAATGGGCCACCTCTCCAGAGACATTGGAAAAAGCACTAGTACATCAAGTCTCTCCACCCCCACGAAGGAATGCAAAACAATATGTTATTTACAGAAACTGTGTGGGAAAGCTTCCCAACAGAATGCAAACTCAGAAGGCTTTAGAAAACTCAAGAATCAGGGCGACATCTCACCCTTTTTAGTTGAAAAGAAAAGAAAAAATGAATAAGGCTCAGTGTCTGTTCATGGAGGAATCATCAGAGTGATCACCCGCCGTCATCTTCAACTGAGTCATCACTCGATGATCCATCCATCTGATGACTTTCAGTTTGGTCATGGCTTCTATGTTGCCCGTTTGTTGGATTCTGTCTCTGCGGTTGCAGATCAGGACGAACACACCTTGAAGGTATCCAGTGTACCCCAGTATCTGTGGATACACAAGCATACCCGCGCCTGGAAGCGATAAGGTCATAGGGACCTTCCCATTGTTTGGTGACTAAATTCCGCACTCGAACTTTTGCTCGAGGCTGATGTGCCTCGTCTGCAGCCTGCAATGAGAGATGATGATTTAAAATGACAGGGTTATTTGAATTCTGCTGCACTGTAAGATGATTGATGGTGTACAATGCTTTCTCCAACCGACTGTGCGGGGTCTCACCCTGCATTCCCCGTTTTTGTTTTTGAAGAACCCGCTTCAGAGTACCATGAGCGCGTTCTACAATAGCTTGGCCGGTTGGAGAACGGGGGATACCAAACTTGTGTGACACACCCCACAACTGCAGGAACTGCCGCACCTGCTGCGATGCGTAAGCAGGACCATTGTCAGTTTTCACAGCAGAAGGTATGCCCAGAACGGCAAAGGCCTGCCTCCAGTGGGCAATGACATCACGAGCCTTTTCTCCAGTGTGAGCGGAAGCCCACATCGCAGAGGAGAACGTGTCCACCGTGACATGCACATACTTGAGCCGGCCAAACTCGGCAATCTGGGTGACATCGGTCTGCCAAAGCTCCAAGGCCCTAAGGCCTCTAGGGTTTACCCCTGCTGGTAGAGGCGGAGCAAGTGCATGGCAGTCGTCACAGGACTCAACAATGCCACGAGCCTCTGTTGGCGTCAGCTGAAACTGCTTCTGCAGAGTATGTGCATTCTGATGGAAAAACCCATGTGATGCCTTGGCCTGTGCAAGTGTATCAGGCTGGGGTGCTACCCATGCCGGATTAGCCAACTTGTCAGCCCTCGCGTTACCTTCTGCTACAAACCCTGGTAAATTGGTGTGACTTCTAACATGCAGAACGTAAAACGGATGAACCCGGGCCTGAATAGCACACCACAAGGTCTTCAGTAAATGAAACAAGGCAGGGTTACTGACCTCCTTCAAAACTGAGTGACCCAACCGCTGTGCGGTCAGCCACATAGGCAGAATCTGTGACCAAATTGAAAGGTTCCTGGGAAAATCTCTCAAATGCCATAACAGCGGCCCTCAACTCAACCAATTGGGCCAACCCATCCTGATGACCTTTCAGAATCTTCCACTCAGATCCGTCCTTCCAAGTAACAATGGCCTTTCCTGTTTTCCCCGAACCATCAGTAAAGACGGTGGGTCCTTGCACGGGTTCCTGACTATTTTTGGGCCGCAAAGAGATCTGCATAGATTTTGCCACCTGCAGTAGCTTGTGGCTGGGCAAATGATAAGTGATCTGCCCTGAAAAATTTTCTAGAGCGCATTGCAGGGACACACAGTGTGCAAAGCTCCAGTCAAAGTCCTCCCGGGATATGGGGAGTATGATCTTTGCAGGATCCGCACCCATCAATTGCAAACACCGTTGCCGGCATTTGATTATCAACCGAGCAATCAACTCAGCCAATGTCGTTGCCGTCTTCTGCGGCTGATGGGGCAGGAAAACCCATTCCAAGATGTGCAAGGGATCGGACCATTTGTCACTCCATTGACCAATGATACCTGTGGGATGCGAATCTGGAGTGGTAACGAACACTGTGACATCAACGGAAAGATCAATGCGATAAACCTGACAGGCAGAAACAGCCTGCTGAAACTCCTCCAGCACCTGACGTGCCTCAGGGGTCAATGTGCGAGGTGATTTTAAATCAGAGTCTCCTTTCAAGAGATCATATACAGGAGACAGTTGTGCATCGGTTAGTCCCAAGTATGGATGTAACCAGGTGATGACACCCATCAGTTTTTGAACATCATTCAGTGTCTTCACCGAGTGTGCAAATTGCACCTCCTGGTGTTGGATTGTCCGTTCCAGAATTTTGACCCCCAAATACTTCCAAGGAGGTTGCTGTTGAACCTTTTCTGGAGCCACCTGCAGCCCATGAGCATGCAAAGCATCGAGCAACTGAGGCTGAATCCTCAGCAGCTCATCCTGAGTGGACACAGCCACCAAGATGTCGTCCATATAATGATACAGACGTGCATCAGGAAACGGCTTGCGAACTCCAGACAAGGCACGGGCGACATACCATTGGCATATGACCGGGGAATTGCACATCCCCTGTGGTAGAACTTTCCATTGATATCGCTGTGCAGGCTCATCATTGTCAATTGCTGGCACCGTGAAGGCAAATTTCGGTCTGTCATCGGGATGCAAAGGAATTGTAAAGAAACAATCCTTCAAATCCACGATGAAGATCGGCCAGCCTGCAGAAAGCATGGTAGGCGATGGCATGCCCGCCTTCAATGTTCCCATGCCTTCCATGACGGCATTGACCTTCCGGAGGTCCTGTAACAACCTCCATTTCCCAGACTTCTTTTTGATGCAGAAAACAGGGGTGTTCCAGGGACTGTTAGAAGGCTCCAGACGACCCTGGTCCAGCTGCTCCTGCACCAATTTCCGAAGGGAAATCAGTTTATCTTGAGGGAGGGGCCACTGGTTTTCCCAAACAGGTGTATCCACCAGCCACCATATAGGAGGCGTAGAACACTCTGCGCCCTTCGCTGCAGTGGCCTCCATCAAAAACCCGTCCCAATGCACACCCCCCATGCAGATAGAACATCCCTCCCCCAGAGGTTAGCAGGAGAAGAAGTAACATAAGGCCTAATCCAGGCCGTCTGTCCCTCTGGGTTTGTGACCAGCACAGGCCGTTGGCTCACATAACACCGTGCCGTTCCCCCCAGGCCCGCAACAGACGTCTCCGCTGGATCCAGGGGCCAGTCCGGAGGCCAGGCGGCAAGGAAGAGAACCGTGACATCAGCGCCGCTGTCAAGGAGCCCGCGCAGGCGGATCTCTGACGGTGTCGAATCAGGGATGGAGAGGGTACACAGCATCTCGGGACGGTCTTTGGTCAGGACAGCAGTCCAGTGAACTTGAGGCAGCCCAGTGGATCCAAAACCGCCATCACCTCGCAACCGGTCAGTCGTCCTGCGAACAGAAGACTTAAAAGGCACAAGTTGAGCAAGCCGTGTCCCTTTTGGGATCGTAACGGGGGGGGGGGGGTGTGGAAACCATTGCACAAATCTGCCCTGTGAAGTCTGCATCAATGAGACCCAGGTGCACAATGACGCCCTGAAGGGTGGCACTAGACCTCCCCATGAGGAAGGCGCTCATGCCTTCACCCAATGGACCAAAGGCGTCCAGGGGAACCTTGTGCACCTTGCAAGAGTCTAACACGACTGTTGCTGCTGTGCAGACATCCTCACCTGCTGACCCACAGGTGCTGGCGACAAGCTGGCCGAGCAGACGTCCATGGGCTCTGGGGTCTGGAGAGGAACTTGTGTCTGAGCGCACCCCCCCCTTCGCGCTCCACTTCCCGTTTCCCGGGCCCGTGAGTGCTTGGCCATTAACATGAACAGTCGCCTTGCAAACATCTGCAGGATGGCCTGGCCTTCCACACCGGCCACACACATACAAGGGAATTTTTCCTTTCTGTGCTTTCTTCCCCCATTTGGTGCTTGCCTGAGCAGCACCCCGGGGCTGCTGCCAGCCCTGCGGTGCTGCCCAGACCGGCTGCGCAGCAGCAGCCCAAGCATCCACCTTCCGAACCGAGGGGCCTAGGTCTGCACAGGCCACTGCCATCTGTGAGAATGTAGCCCCTTCAGGAAGAGCCTGTATGACTCTATTGCATTCTGCGTTGCAGTGGATCCTAGCAAATCTCGCAAGGACCATTCGCCTTAGCTCAGGTTCTACCACCTGCCGCTCCACCGAGGCAGTCAACCTCGATGCAAAGTCCATGAACGACTCATCGGCCCTTTGAACAACAGTCAGAAAGGGTTCCATTGGAGCAGCCATTTCTAAGGTCTGGATCACAGCTGCTAAGCCTAACGTCCTGCACTGCTCAAGCACGAGAGGATTGTATCCCGCCTGCCCCTGAGGATCAACATAATTACCTGTGCCCATCAACATGTTAGCGGTAGCTACACGTCTGGGATCCTGCTGCCCCCGCGTAGCATGCTTCCGTACTGCGCTGGCCACTAAGGCAGCCCACTTGTCCTCAAACACGTCAAATTGCACAGGGTTAAAAAGAGCCTGAGCCACAGAACGAATATCGGAAGGCGTCAGCAGGTCAGTAACAAGTAATCGGATCGTCTGCATAACGTCATCAGACCCAACACCATACTGTGCAACGGTGTCTCGGATTTCCTTCAACACCTTAAATGAAAAAGGCTGATGAGTGTTATGAGTAACACCCCTAAGCACAGGGAAAGCCTGAGGACCCACTGGTAAGGCTGCATCATCCACTGTATCGTGTCCCGTGGACTCCGGGAAGTGGCAGCCCTTGGGCTGCGAGGCGGTGCAACATCACTGGACACCACGCCTCCCGCAGCATCTGCAGAGCCAGAGGAGCCTTCCCCTTGATCCGGCAGGCTCCGCGAGGGGCCGAAGTCGCACATCTCCTCAGCCTTATCCAGGACCACCTGCCAAAACCGCCCGTGGTCCTTCGGACGCACGGTCACCTGGCAGGCAGGGAGGGTCCACAAGGTCGACTGGGAATATCCGCGGCCACGGGGAGTCACCGGTCTCCCGCCGGCCGCGTCAGCAGTCGCGCTAAAGGTGAACACCCCAGTGCCCTGCTGCGCCGCAGTCCCGGCCCCCGCGGCAGTTGGGGAAGGCGGAGCGGAACCAGCCGGTGCCCCAGCGGTGCTGTCTGCAGTATCAGCAGAGGGCACCGCGGCGGGCGCAGGCGGAGGCGCAGACCACAACCCCAGCACAGCACTCCCATCCCCCGGGACGGGGGAAGGACAGGGCGCAGAGGGAGACGCGGCGCGCGGAGACACGTCACCGCGGGACGACACAAGGGAGTCTGGCACGCCCCCAAGGAGCGTCGGACCCGCACCGCGCAGCCTCCTGGTGGGCACCGCCCCCATCAGGCGGGACAGGGCGGGCTGCCCGCCTGCCGGGGCGGGGTCCGATGGAACAGTGACCAATGCCCCGCCTTTGGCGGCCCTCACCGCCTGCGCATGCCCGGCAGGCCGCGCAGGCTCAGGGGTCGGAGCGGGTTCCTCCTCAGAAGAGGAACCTGAGACCAGGCCAGGCGACTGCACCTGCGTCTTCTCCAGGGGAAATGTAACACCACAGTTTGGGCAATTCACCGTCACCGAGTCGGCCGCAATCCGAGGCGGGGGCTGATCCACGGTCCCCTGTTCACCCCCGAGCGCCGGGAAGGCCCAAAGAGAAAGTGCTTTCCCGCCCAGCCCACTACGCCTACAATGCGGGGCAGGGCGAGGCGGCCGAACCGGCTTCACCGACCGGATTCCTGGAGCCAGTGGGCTGGGAGCCCGAACCACACCAGAGGAGGAGCCGCCTTCCGGCTCACTCCCCCCGGGGCTAGGGGAATCAGGGCAACTGTACAGAGACTCGGCTTCCCCAGCATCCGCATCCAAGACAGATAGGTCCCCCAGAGAAGCCCGAGAACTGCCAATCTCAGACCCCTGCCGAATGGCAACCAACCTCTTGAACAGCATCATCAGCGGCCCAACATCTTCAAAACGATTATCAAGCAGGGCATCCATGAGGCGATCTTCCACGGGAGACCAATTCTCCCAGAAAAGGGCCTCAGCAAGACTGGGAAAGAATCCCTGTTCCCTTGCCCATAAAAACAGCCTCTCAAAATCGTCCTAATAAAAAGGAACGCGTTTCCGCTTCAGCACCTCCCTCCAAACGTCCAAAGCCACAGACTCCTCCCTAATGCCCTCAAAGCTCTCCATTACCAAAAAAAAAAAAAAAACAGCAACAGGCAACGCGCTAAACATACAGAAAGACCTCACCAACAGTTCCCAGCCTAAACTGCAATACATTTCGGCGGTCACCAGATGTCGCTATACGACACGAGAATGCACAGCGCGAGCCACTTGCCACTTTGCAAGGTAAAAGAGAAAGTTTATTTTCTGACTCCAACTTTTATACTTTTCCAAAGGTGACAGTGGATTGGAGAGTGAATGGGCCACCTCTCCAGAGACATTGGACAAAGCACTAGTACATCAAGTCTCTCCACCCCCACGAAGGAATGCAAAACAACACGTTATTTACAAAAACTGTGTGGGGAAGTTTCCCAATAGAATGTAAACTCAGAAGGCTTTAGAAAACTCAAGAATCAGGGCGACAAACAACAAAGGAAAATATTTTTGTATCCTTTTATTCTTTTAAAGGCATGCGACTGGGAGCCAAGAAAATTAAATTCCATTCCTGGCAGTGTATAGGCTCCCTGTGTGAATTTGAACTAGCTGTTGAATCCACCCTTTGCTAACATGGCCAGTCATGCTGAGCAGAAAAGCTACTTCCTTTGCCGTCGACAGCAAAAAATCCTGCATGCACAGTGTTGCATTGGTTTAAAAAACTAAAATCAAGTGAGAGAAAGTGCTCTTGAGAAGTCCTAGCAAGAAAGCTGTGTTGCTGAGGAGGGGACCTTGTTTGCATGAGAAAAGCTGGAATTAAATAAGCATGTATCCAGACTCAAAAAGCTTCTGAAGGTCTAACTTAGAAGGTTTTGTTTTAATCTCTAAATCATGTGAAGGACTTTTGAAAGTCTTCTGTGGATCACCTGAAAACTGTTTCCCTTATGTATAGTTGGTGATGCTGTCTTCAGTGCCTCCTGCACTTTGCACTTGAAATACGACACATTTAAACACTAAAATCTCTTTTGAATAATGCAAAAAGAGGGGTAGTGTCTAAAGACAAACAGAAAACCTGAAAGATGCTGGAAGGGACAAAGTCTGTCCTGTAGAGATGCTGCATCCCTGAGTATATTCACTGTCTTCACATAGTGATTGCTGGAATATATTTAATACATTCCAGTGTTTTGACTATCCAAGGAATGTGATTTTTCTTAGTGTTTATATCCTCGATAAAACTGACAATAGTGGGTTTCCCCCCTACAACATCACTAGTGTTGGGAGCTGCTTAACACTAAAGCAACACTTTTATGCAGATTTAATGATCCTGGACTCTTTTTTGTTCTTTGTTTTTGAATGTGGGCTCTTGAGCAAAATATAACCTTGCTTAAAATAATCCTGCAAATTGAAATAAAACTGTAATTCTGATAAGTTGGTAGCTGATAACTATCTAACATAGCTGAACAGCCAAATAAAAGCAATAGCTGTCACTCAGGTAGTGGAAAAGTGCTAAAGCAACCCTAGAGCTATATATAATAAAATATAATAATAGTAATATAATCCTAGACCTTATGTTAGGATATCTATGTACTGTATTTAGCTATGGGAGGATGTCCTAGTTTAGGGCAAATTTGGGGAAAACCCTCTGGAAGGAGCCCCCAGAAAACAAACCCCCACGGCCCCTCCCCACCCACCTGGTTCGGGAAAAAATTTTCTCTGAGAGAAGTGGAAAAGAACCTGTTTATTCAACGAACAAAGCACCCCCCAGCACCAAGAAGAAAATTAGCAACACCAGATGACAACAAAACTCTTTTCACCACTCTGAAGAGATGAACAAATCCAGAAAGTCTTTCCTGGGAGTGGTCGCCCAGGTCTGGACGCTGGGGATTGCTCTCCAGCACTGGGGATGGCTGCTGCAGATCACAAAATGCAGGATCTCGGTGCTCCTCGGTGTTTCCCAGGTCCCAGTCCGGAGCAGGTTGGATGGTATTCAGCAAGAGGAAAGGAAAAGAAACAGTCCAGGGAAAGAATTGGACTGCTTAGCTAAACTAACTAGGAAGCAAAGGAAAAAGCAGAAGCAAGCAAAGCAAGCAAGCCAAGCAAGCAAGCAAAGCAAAAGCCAGCCAGCCAGCACTAGCCTTTTCTAGACAGCTGACCATGGGGGGAGGTGAACTGGCTGATAACAAGGCAAAACAAACCTTCACTTTCAGAGTCAGTTCTGAAAGCACAGAACATAATATCAAATGTAAACAGAACACACGATTGGAGATACAAACACCATAACGTCACCCTAGGACATTCCACCCCTTATCTCCATATCTTCAACATCATGTAAAAACTCCATCAAGTTAAAACTTATATCTTTCACTTACTCATACTTTCGACACTTACACATTTCCTTCTATTTCACTTGCTCAAACCTTTGACACATACACATTTCCTTCTTTCTCATGTCTGTGTGTTTTCATGCACAGACATTGGCAGTAACATCCAGCAAACAGTGATATTTGCACAATAGTTTCACCCCACAATCAGATCTCCCTGAGGTACACATCATGTTGTTCCATCTCTCTGCATTATCCACCATGTACAACCTGGTCCCTGAGCAAAGAAAATCCCACGAATGGGTTTGTCTGTACTCGAGGCAGGATTGATCCACACTGATTTCCCTAACAAACCTCTGACATGTGCCACTGGGACTTTATCTCCATCTACTATATTCTGGGGCTCAGACTGGGCAGGACCTGCTCGATTGGTGCAACCTCGGCTGTTAAATAACCAGGTGGCCTTTTGCTAGATTTTGCCCCCAATTTTTGAAAGATCCCCCACCCAATGCTTTTAGGGTGGTTTTTAACAGTCCATTGTACCTCTCCACTTTGCCTGCAGCTGGTGCATGGTAGGGGATGTGGTACATCCACTCAATGCCATGTTCCCTAGCCCAGGTATTGATAAGGCTATTCTTGAAATGAGTCCCATTGTCTGACTCAATCCTCTCAGGGGTACCATGCCTCCAAAGGACCTGCTTTTCAAAGCCCAGGATGGTGTTACGTGCTGTAGCATGAGACACATGTAGGTTTCCAACCATCCAGTGGTGGCTTCTACCATTGTGAGCACGTAGCGCTTGCCTTGGCATGTCTGGGGCAGTGTGATGTAGTCAATCTGCCAGGCCTCTCCATATTTGTACTTGGACCGCTGACCACCATAGCAGAGGGGCTTCACTCGCTTGGCCTGTTTGATGGTAGCACACGTCTCACAGTCATGGATCACCTGAGAAATACTGTCCATGGTTAGATCCACCCCTCGGTCTCATGCCCACTTATAGGTGGCATCTCTACCCTGATGGCCTGAGGCATCATGGGCCCATCGTGCTAGGAACAACTCTCCCTTGTGTTCCCAATCAAGGTCTGTCTTTGACACCCCTATCTTTGCAGACTGATCTACCTGCTGATTGTTTTGCTGCTCTTCATTAGCTCTACTTCTGGGGACATGGGCATCTACATGGCGAACCTTCACAGGTAGCTTCTCTACCCGGGTAGCGATATCTTTCCACTCTTCAGCAGCCCAAATTGGTTTTCCTCTACGCTGCCAGTTAGCTTCTTTCCACCTCTCTAGCCACCCCCATAGAGCATTGGCTGCCATCCATGAATCAGTGTAGAGGTAGAGCTTTGGCCACTTCTCCCTTTCTGCAATGTCTAGGGCCAGTTGAACGGCTTTGAGTTCAGCAAGCTGGCTTGATCCACCTTCTCCTTCAGTGGCCTCTGCAACCCATTGTGTGGACTCCATACAGCTGCTTTCCACTTCCGATTCATCCCTACAATGCGACAGGAACCATCAGTGAAAAGAGCGTAGCGTGTTTCCTCTGCTGGCAGTTGGTTATATGGTGGAGCTTCTTCAGCCCGTGTCACTGGTTCTTCTTCTTCATCTGTGACACCAAAACTTTCACCTTCGGGCCAATTTGTAATTACTTCCAAAATCCCAGGGCGATTCAGCTTACCAATATGGGCACACTGCGCGATGAGAGCAATCCACTTGCTCCATGTAGCACTGGTGGCATGGTGTGTGGAGGGAACCTTTCCTCTGAACATCCACCCCAGCACCGGTAGTCGGGGTGCCAGGAGGAGTTGTGCTTCTGTGCCAATCACCTCTGAGGCAGCCTGGACTCCCTCATAGGCGGCCAAGATTTCCTTCTCTGTTGGGGTGTAGTTCGCTTCAGACCCTCTGTAGCTCCGACTCCAAAATCCCAGTGGTCGGCCTCGAGTCTCATCAGGCACCTTCTGCCAAAGGCTCCAGGACAGACCATGGTTCCAGGCTGCAGAGTCACGTTCTTCACATCTGGTCCTGTCCTGACTGGGCCAAGGGCTACTGCATGAGCAATTTCCTGCCTTATCTGGGTGAAAGCTTGCTGCTGCTCAGGGCCCCAGCAGAAATCATTCTTCTTGCGGGTGACCAGGTAGAGAGGACTCACGATCTGACTGTACTCAGGAATGTGCATTCTCCAGAAACCGATGGCGCCTAAGAAAGCTTGTGTCTCCTTCTTGTTGGTTGGTGGGGACATAGCTGTGATCTTGTTGATGACATCTGTAGGAATCTGACGCCGTCCATCTTGCCACTTCACTCCCAAGAACTGTATCTCTCGAGCAGGTCCCTTCACTTTACTCTTCTTGATGGCAAAACCAGCTTCCAGGAGGATTCGGATGATTTTCTTGCCTTTCTCGAACACTTCTGCTGCTGTGTTCCCCCACACAATAATATCATCAATATATTGTAGATGTTCTTGAGCCTCACCCTTTTCTAGTGCAGTCTGGATCAGTCCATGGCAGATGGTAGGACTGTGCTTCCACCCCTGGGGCAGTCGGTTCCAGGTATACTGCACTCCCCTCCATGTAAAGGCAAACTGAGGC